CCAATGAAAAGTTGTGACCCGCAGTGCTCAAGCACTTGAAGAACGGGTCGCTCCCAGTATCTCCCAAACAAATTAGTTATGTTTTAATTTTCGGTCCGCCTCGATTCGTGATCATTCCCATGACATGATTATGTATTCAAAATCAATAGTAAAGCGGAGATGTAATACTTCATGCCCTGAATATGTCTTCCTTGCAAGGGTTGGCGTGCCATGAAATCAACACTAGGCGGCGTGCAGATATTTCAGCAATATTGCATGTGTGAAATAATTCATGTTAACATGGAACGTTTGGCGTCACGTAGGATAAACTGCGTCTGAATCCTTACATCTAAGTTTACTTTACATCTTCTCCGACCCCCCTACAAGCGATTTCTCTTCTTTAACGCTCCATTTTTTATTACGTCCATCAGCCATCCTTTTATCCATCTAGTCATCTATCCTGCCACCTACACAGGCATTCAGATAACCATCCAACGAATCGCCCACTCATTCATCCATCGACTCAGAGGAACCACTAAACCATCGATCCATCCATCCAGCCACTTATTTACCCGTGCATTTACCTACCAAACTATCTCTTTTCTTATTGATGTTTGAGCTTATTATGGCGATGGATGTCCCGTGTAGTATTCTGGCTGCTTGTCGACGTTTCGGAGGAATATGTAGCATTCCTTATCACGGCATCAACATTGACGTTTACGGCGCGGCAAGCCAAAATATCATCAGCATTCATGTCACGTTATTTGTCTCCTTATATTTTCCATTTCTGTTGCGTTTATAGCCATGCCTTCATTTTGTCATTTATCAATCATGTCTCTTCAGTTTAAGTCCTTCATTGCCTCAACATTTTCTAAATATTATAAAATATATTAGATCTTTAATTGGATCCAAGCAGGTATCTTGATATCTCCAGTTTATCGACATGGAACTCACATTTTGTTGTATAATTTTTACTAATGAATTATACAAAATTATTTTATTTTTAAAAAAACATAAAGTACTGTTTATGCTGTACACGACTACTAAAGTTCTCAGTTGTGACTGCAGATAGCAAGAAATTCAATTTAGCAAGTGCTGATACCATTAGGCAAATTTAGTAAATACTTTTAAACGCGTTAGAATCACGAAAGTCATGACGGTAATGGATGGAAATACGAAGGAAATCATCCTCAGTGTAGTCTGAAGGGGTCTTTATATAATGTTTGAACTCGGAGTTAATGTTTTTGTTGTTACTTGTTACGAACTTTCTGTTAACACAAAGTTCCCGTTTGTAGGCTGAGTAGAAATTATGCCACTCATTCAGCTGCATAAAATGCATGTCATTCCTGCATTGCTTTAAGCATGACACAGCTGACTGAATTTATTTGCGGGGTTGCGCTCCTGTAAATTGCTGAGTACAACGAAACTGTAACAATCGCCATTTTGAGTTTAAATTGACGTCAGAATTTTTTATGCTAATCTTATCATTTGCATCACATTCCATGATAATCTTTGAGAAGTTTCGACGCAGGTAACAGATTTTAAAATTTGTCTGCGAATATGATATTGATGTTCTCTATTAACACTAAAATAAAGTAGCGTATACGCAAGAACGCTGATATTGAAAGCGCGTATAACAAGAATCACCGATGTACAGTTTCTTATAGGCTTATGGTTACATATTAGGAAAGGAATGTGGTTTATGGGCAGGCTCGTCTGTGAAAGAAATCCGGACCGCAACACACCTCAACAGTTGTAATAAGCGTAGTCCTTAACTTACTTTTGGATCACACAGTAACCGGGAATTAGCACAGAGTTTCTGATTCATCCAGCAGAGAGCGACTTTCACATGACCTACCATCTATAGCTCTCGGCTGGCTTCTGTACTGTAGTACTCGAGTTATTTAAACCGATTGGGTTTTGCAGGAAAAGTCATTGGCAATTTGCGAATGTTTCTCGGTAGCTTGCGTATAATAAATTGTAGGTCATAGGTCATACTAGGTCATATTAATGAGATTAAAAATTGAACACACATTGGCGTTATCCTCTATGCGTATGAGTGGCAAAGAAGATGTACACAACCTCAAAGAGAAATGTGGTTTTCTCTGACCGAACGCTTAGCTTGTCTCGGAGAAGGATATACATAGTTTCTTTTTGTATGTTCCGTGAGATTGATACAAAGTAATGTGTCTCGACCGCCATTTTACCTTTCCGGCTTATGTTGTGGTAACTTTGACACCGACAGAGGCGTTGGTGTCTATCTTTGGTTCCTCGGCTTCAGGATTTTATTCTAAATAATGTATTAGAGAGTATTCCTGGATTCTGAAACTGAATTGTCGGTAAAGTTGTCGTATTGATGCAGAATGTTAAATTTTAGTTACGTTGTTCTATATGGCTTTCTGTAGTTGATATCGGTTTGTTGAGGGTACGGTGAGTTTATGTCAGGTTAGGTTGATGGATTTTCTTATGTTACGATATATAAGTCATTATTTTTTTTAAATATTCCTAACATGTTAGAATTTTGCTTTAAAACGTGAAACGTTGTCGTAATTAAAACTGAATAAAGCAATTTTAATATTTTATATAAAAACAGAAATATAATATCAACGTAATAATATTCTAGTATTAACCAAATCGCAAACAAACAGCAAGATTGAGACTTGGAAGTTTACTTGTACATTAAATTAAACCTTGTGAGAAGCGGAATTGATGCTCAGTGAAGTAAAAGATCTGATTTCGTTTCCCAACGGTGATACTGAATAAAGCGCTGGACGTGTGATTTGATAGCACAAACCATTGTACCGCAGAGACATTACCTGCCTTCGTGTCGTGGGACTTAGGATCAGAACATTATCACTGCTCCAGAAGCAGCCTCCGAACAGCGACATAAGACTATTTTAGAAATGAAGGAAAGTGAAAAAGACGTTGCCAACACCGACAAGGTAATCTGATACTCATTCGATATTACGATTACGAAAGTATTATGAAAACTGACTTTATGATCGATTTTAAGACGAAGATTTGCAGGGGTGGGGCTGGACATAAAAAGTTGACTGAACAAGAACTGTTGGCGTTTCAAACACTTGACTAACCATTCGGGGTGGTAAGTTTAGTTTCTTACTCAAGGGTTAAAACACTTGAATGAGACCCTAAACTAACCCCCCCCCCCCCCCCCACACCCCCCCCCCCCCCCCGAAGGCGGTTGGTCAGTTGTTTTAACCCCAATTCGGGGGGGTTTGTTTAGTTTCTTACACAAGGTTGGTTGCGTTTTAAAAAATTGACCCCCCCCTCCCCGAGGAGCTCCGAAAGGAGCGTTCCGCTTTAGTAAAATAAAATTTAATTGTTGTGATATTGAATGCTCATAGAAGCAATGAACTGATTAAGAATGGAGATTATTATGTGATAAAATAGTTTATTAATGTGCTTTGTTCTCGTCGTATTGTTCCATATGTTGAATGCAGAATGTACCAGGTGATTCAAAAAGGACTTTACAACTTTGAAAGTGTATAGAAATTTAATCAGAAAGCTTACAGAATCGGTTTAGGTGTCATTTTGTAGCAAAACAAATCACGTTTGACTCACGTTGTGCTGTAGTACCGAATTCCGTCACCGCGAGCGCAAGCGGCCCTCCCAGTAGACCTACAATTTACTCTTGGCACAAGAATTTTGTTGAGACTGGTTGTTCTGTTCGCCATGACAAATCTCCAGGTCGCCCTCGTGTTTCTAGTGCTGTTGTGGAACACGTTCGTGACAGCCCAAAGGTGAATGTGTTTTGTGCCCTTAGCAAAGTTAAAGTGTACGGCCCGTTCTTTTTCCATGAGAGAACCATCAATGGTATCGTGTATCTGGATATGCTCGAAAATTTTCTCATACCACAGTTAGACGAAGATGACCAAAAAGGACGCAATCACTTCCAGCAAGACGGCGCACCACCTCAATACCTCACAGAAGTCCGGGATTTCCTCAATAACCGTTTCCCAGGTCGGTGGATTGGTCGAACAGGGTCGATAGTATGGCCACCTCGTTCCCCAGATTTGACACCTCTCGATTTTTTCTTATGGGGTTTCATTAAAGATCGTGTGTATGTTCCACCCTTACCTGCCAATCTCACTGAGCTCAAAGCTCGAATCACCGCCGCAGTTGCAGAAGTGACACCGGGTATGCTGGATCGCGTTTGGCAAGAAATTGATTTCAGGTGGGATGTCTGCAGTATCACCAATGGCAATCAAATCGAACCAAAATGACTATTTGAGGTAAAACGTGATTTGTTTTGCTACAAAATGGCATCTCAGCCGATTCTGTAAGCCTTCTGAATAAATTTCTATACACTTTCAAAGTAGTAAAGTCCTTTTTTAATCACCCTGTATAGGAAGGGCCGGATAACTTGCGAGTTCTTGGCGCGGGGGTTGTAGAGCAAGGTAAAATCACTGCGCGCGCAACTCCACGCTTTTTCTACCCGTTCTACCCGACCGTTCCGTGCACCGACCAGGCCGTGCCGAGTGCAAATATTCACAGCACTAAGAAGCTCAGCTAGCAAGTAATCTGTACCCTACTGTACGAGGAGTTGGAAGCGTGATTTGGTAGAAATAAAAAGATAAATTATTTTGATGAATTGTCTTGGAAGTTAACCATTAACAAATGAAAGCAGATTGATTGATAATATTTATATGTGTCTGGGAGAGAGAAATTTTAGTGATATGAATAATGTTGAAGTGTCCAGTGTCACGTCAGGTTCGATGATCGGGAAACCCCTCCTCCAATTAATTAAAGAAACGCGGTTGGGTTCCTGATTTCCAGAGCTGATATGGACATGTGTACCTCACGACCAATCACCATTCTGGCTAAGCCGGGTCAGCTCGTGCAAAATCGAGGATGAATTTTTAGACGTAATTACAGTTTTCAACAGAACAAAGATTCTAAATGTGATAAAATCTACTCTTCGTGTATTCTGTCTATTTTAACCTTATCCAAAATTGAAAAGAGGTTAGATTTACGTTACGTCGTGATATGTGTTGTTGCAGCTCCCGAAAAGAGTCTTGAGTTCACGACATCAAAGCCTGCCATTGACTCTGTGAACCTGACGTGCAGGGCGCGTGGCGTCTATCCAGAGCCAAAGATGGCGCTCTTCAAGGATCCGGACAGGTAAGCATCGCTAAACGAATTTATGACGTGCTATAATAAACTTTATGCAAAACTTCTTTATTCATTGCACGTCTCTTGTATCACCGCGCTAAACGCTCTCCTACACCTCTATGAGGAAACTTTGCACACATATCTCCTCAAAAGGAACTAAGTTTTGATCAGAAATCTGTGGCTTCATTAAATAACAGGACGTAAGGCCATAGTTGTCTGTCGACTGTTAAATAAACACACGGCACAATTCATATTATAAGGTACAGAATCACCTCTTGTAAGCTTGCTGTCATTGTTTATTAAAGAGTGTAAAGATGTCGCACTATACGCCATTCAGATGCTTGGGGGGAGAGCCGGTATAGCTTCTGCTCATTCTTAACCTTTGCACTAGATAGGGGTGTGTGGTTAGCGTCACGCTCCGGCCGCACTTTACCACCGATACCCATTGGATAGGAGGCTGAGTGGCTCTGGATGCAGAGGCTAAAGGAAAAGTCCTCTGCTGTCACCGTCGGGGATCGAACCCCGGTTGTCTAGTCTTTAGCCAGTCACTGTAATGACTGATCTACCCTATTGTTTATTACAAATGCCATTTTTCGGTTTATTAAAACTGTTGACTGTTGACTCCATCTGTTAGGATATTCGACGATGCCATGCTGAAATTAAGTGAAACAATTCAGGGAATCAGCACGGGCCTATATTAGACAAATATTTGGGCCTAAGAATAATGAAATAACTGAACATTTTCTACATATCACAGTATTCTTCTTCTTCTTCTTATTCTTCTTCTATGGCTCTCCGGTCAGTATTCGGTCCATGACCTCCTCCACTTAATGGTACCTGCACCTTGTCCTGGCGGTGGGGCTTGAGTACCTCAGTGACCCCAAGAGCTACTGGTAGGGCTTCCTTATCCAGATTGGTCGAGGGAGAGAGGTCAGACTAAGACAGGTACCCTGGTCCTCCAGGTTGGGGGTTGGTCGCAAGGCTAACAACCTTGCACCGTAAAATGAAAGATGTTTCGAAACCTCAATCAAAGCCTCAGACAGAATGGACCTAACAGAGGACCGAACAGTATTTCTAAGATATTAAAATAATTAAACCCAAGGCTGTTGCCGGTTTCAGGTTTGATAGTAAGAATTTGATGGTATGAATACTGTAGCATGATTACCTAAAATTCATTCCAATTACCGATTCAATTATTATATCACAAATAAAGTTATTTAGACGTGTTTATAACATTTATATTGATTAATATTTTGACAGTCTTCTTCAGTGTGAGGCATATAGTTCTTGGATAACCCAATTGTGAGCCATGTAAGTTGTGGGAATCGATTTCAGTTACAAGAATAATCAAAGTTTCCGGTCTCATGTTATATCTTCCACCAGATCCTGGCAGTTCGCCCTTTCCAGATATGTGCCATCACGCGATCTGTTCGCCGATGCTACCATATCGCTGGATCTGTCGTCAATTGAACACGTGTAACGCTTGATTGAACATCATCTCCAGAGGCATTGCCGTCTACCTAGTGCATTGTGTTAGTCAGGGGCAGATCAGTGCACGTTTAATATAGCTTAGATCCCACAGGATGACGCCATTCAGCTCATTGTTGGAATTCCTGGCAGATGCATTTATGCACTACCATTGTTAGAATACAGATATCATGTATCTTGCGACATTGTGGTGGGTTTAGATGGCCATTATGAGTTATATAATATGTTGGGAAATAAAATGTTATGGTGGTAGGGGCGTATAGAAATTTGTGGGGGGGAGACAAATAATTCACTGCACATGAACTCGAAAACCTGAAAGATGGAACCAAAACGAATGCAGGTAAAGGGTAAATCATGAAGTTATTGGCGAAAATAAATTGAGAGAGAAGTACTGAAATGATCGAAAATTTGGAGCGAGACTGAGAAACGTAATTACATAATTATAAACATACCACGTTAAATTTGTCGGAAATTGTTCTAAAGTTTTATACCCATCACCATAAGTGTAATTGTTTTATTGATAAATAAATTTTATTGTAGGCCTATACTTTGTAGGCAACACGGAATTTTCCTCCGGGGGCTTCCCCGGTTTCTCCGTGGCATCCCAACAATTACTCCATTCACACACAGAAGAAGGCAATGGCAAACCACTTCTGGATCATCTGCCAAGAACGTATATGAAAGGTCCCAGTCCGAGAAAAGGATGGAAGAATCCTGTTCATATGGACCTGTCGTCACACAGAACAACAAATAAAATAAAAATGTTTGAAACATGTGGTAGAAGCACACTCAGTGACCAGTAGATTGGAATCTGTAGACCGCGGGTGCCTTGTGGCCCGTTGCTCGGTGTGGTTGAGGACTTCCGGAAGCTATCCCGTATTGGGCAGTACATCGACCTCGGACTACGCTAAACGATTACCACGCGGAACAAGCGACTGTCGTATCGTCGAGAATTACAATATCATTAAACATAACGCTATTTTTGCAGTCCAGGAACTAGAATGCCTTCCCGTCTTGTATTTGTAAGGACGTCATGACTTGTCTCAGACACAAATTACGGTATTCCGGAAACTTTTGGAAGAGAAAACCGTTGTACGGATTAATTTTGAAATGTACAGTCTGGTGCGAAAGCTAGGACATCTTGAACCGGAAGTGTTGAATACCTCGTGACCTTGTCTTCATCTGTCTGTATCTTCATTATATTGTTGTAACAGTGTGAACCGGGATCATTGTTACAAGTATGACTGTTTCTTTTGATATAATTGTTACAGTTGTGTTGGTTTTTCTGCTTTCAGAGTCTTTCAAAGTGTACACTTTTCCAATCCGTCTTTATTATTCACATCGCGTGTTTAGTTTCAACTTGAGACGTGAAGAAAATTGTCCATTAACAAGCTTTTCAGAAGCTAGAGCCAAACAAACGGTGAGAAATGTTTGCCTTATAATTTTCTTCCTTACATCTGTGTCGCCATAATGTGATGTCGCTTTCCACGAGACTTAGAAATCTAGGACTGAAACGCCGAACTAGGTTTGAGAGACCCAGATGCACGACTATGGTCAAAGCTCTCATCGAGTTGTACAAAGCGTAACCTACAAACGTTTTCTGGATCATCTGCCAAGAACGTATATGAACAGGTCCCAGTCCGAGAAAAGGATGGAAGGATCCTGTTCATATGGACCTGTCGTCAGACAGAACACTAAATAATATAAATAGTCTATACTGAACGTAAGCTTACATATTTCCATTTGTGTTCTTGCACAGGATGATAGTAGATGATGTGCAGGTGGAGACGCTGTCCCGACAGCGATCGTACGACATCGTGGCCACAAAATTGATGCCAGACGACGACCTGGATACTCCCACGGTGTTTGCCTGCGAGCTGCGCATTCCAGAAGCAAGCTACGAAGTTACGAAGAGCGTTGTCTACTATCCAGGTAAATGACAAGGCGAATTATTAGTACTTTGACATTTTTCCAACTTCGTTGTTTCATTTCTACCTCAGAGGTTTGTGACGGCAAAAAGTTTAGTTTGTTGTTGAACCTCAGATTTTGTATGACATTTTCAAACTACTGCATATACTTCACATGACAAGCTAAATTTAGATGTGTCATAAATATTTTTTTTCATATCGCTTTACTTATACGTTAACAAAATTCCCATCAGTCCATACACAACGAAGTGGTGCTTCATAAGAGCCAAGGGCAACCTTACCTTTAACATGCACCATGAATTACTATAATGGCGAGAAAACTTGTATGCTACAGTAATGAAATGAGGTCCATTGGTGGTATTCATGAAGTTGGACTCTTTACGGGTTTGCTAGGAGTAAAAATTCTTTATAGTGGCGAATGATTCTGTCTGTATACTTCTGCGCCGGCAGACCACCAAAATTGGATGATAAACGTTTGATTATAAGACAAGAGTGGCGTATTATTATGATTCTTAATTTGTTATTGAAGTTTTCAAGGGAAAAATCACTTACTCTTAAGTCAGGAACGCTTGGTATTCGTGTACCTACAAGGCAAGTAAGTTACTTTTATACTTTCAACATAAACAGCGCATTACAACAGGGTCCTTCAACTAGGTAGGCTACTACTGAAAATAACATGTGCAAATTTTTCGATTTTTTTTGGCTAAATCATTCTCGTTTGAGGACATTTTCTTGATAGTAGAAAGTGTTTAGATTGATAATGTGTCTAGTTTAGTTCAATTTTCACTTGTTTTATTACATTATGGTCTTTATACTTATTATATATTTTGAGCCGAATCTGTAATTGACTTCTATAGCTATTGAATTAGCACGTTAAAATAAACAATTAATTATTATTAATAAGTTAATCCCGATTACCCTGCCTAAACGGGACCGGAAGACGGTCGGATAATACAGAAGGCTAATTGAAAAGTCGAAGGTAAATATAAATTTAATTTTCGATAATATTAAATTACGAAGAGAATGCAATACGACATTAATAAAAAAAATCTTACAAAAAAATGTACATTTGTAAATTAAATTTTTTAAGAAGTTTGTAATGAGTGTATGCTTCTGAGCCTCCTTCCTTTTCTTTGAGGCAAAGTCACGCCAGCGCTGAACAGTGATACGTCTCTCTTTATTGTTTAACGTAAGCACGTGCGGTCTAGTTGAATGTTATCACCCACTCTGACCCACTGTATGTCGGATAATACAAAACATCGATAACCCAAGGTCGGATAATCGGAAATACTGTGTTACTACGGTGCAGTAGCATTGTAGTGTGAATGCTGGGAAATTTATTAAAATTGCATTTCTCGCTTTTATACCAGGATTAGCCAACTTCCCCCCCTCCCCCCCATGAACTTTACGTTTGTATTCGTATGAGATGACAAGAAAAGTGTGACCAAGTGCAGGCAGTGCGAGGTCATAACCTTCTGCCCGCGTTAAATATATTACTGGTGTGACCATATATTAAATTAGGACCTAACCCAGCGGATAGTGGTTGGGAGAGGAAATTTTAACCGGAGTTGGAAAAGTTCGTTAGTTGGCGTAAGATAAATAAATGTTAGTAATGATCAGTAATATAATACGTGAAATTATTACTGAAGATTATGGTATTGATTTCTTGGATAAACACTCATAAAATCCAGGTATATCCTAAAATGTTATGCAAACCTTTGTATCACATTATCTTAGTTAATTATATGTTCTTGATATCTGAGGGTCCCAAAGAAATTCCAACAGTAAATTTTTATCCCCAAGTATATTGTAAGCATCGGTATGGAATTCAAAATTTAAAGAAGACATTTGACTTGTCTATGCCACATAACTGACGATTTTCCGGTAGACTAAAAATTATATTTGCACCGTACATGTTTTTTGCACGCAACTGATTTTGTGTCAAATTTACGTTTCCAACAACTTCCTTGTATCCGTACACTTTCATAGAATAAATTACTCTGGCGTATCATCTGGTAACTTTTCCCTAATTATTTTGGCAGTTAGCGAAACAAACTTGTTTAAGTAGTCCTGGATGAAGAACTTCAACAGTTAATGCCAGTTATAACGAATCTTTATAAGTTAGAAATATGAAATTTGTGGTGACATGTCGAGTCCTATGGCCCATCCAGAAGTTGTCTTACTAAGTAACATAGCTATATTTCTCTCTTCTCTGCGTGCAGTTTCGATTTCTCTTCAAGATTTTAGAGTATTTATTCATTTCGTTTGAATGAAAGTTTTAATATTGAGTTAATAATAATTAGCTTTATTTATTTATCAGATTATCACTTCCCTGCTTGGTGCACGTAAGTGGCCTTTGTTGGAATAGCTTAGCATTCAGTAAGTCTAGAATACCCGAAAACAATGTGAACAATTTTAGCACGTTCTTTCTCGTCCTAAGAATTCAATGCAGATCTTTATTTATTTGGGACGGGCTTCGTCGAATGTTAAAATTTTCCAGCGTTTCGTCAAACATTGCAGTTGCCAACTTCAAGGTGAATATTTAATTGTCGGGTATGTTTGGAAGCCTTATATAGTGTGGCAATTTGGATTTTGTGATGGAGCAGAAGATCGTGGGCTTCTATCCAATTGGAAATGAACACGTGACCTAGAAAAATAAGGGACTTAAAAAGAAACTCTCAGCCATTGCATATCCACCTTGAAGGTGACAACTGCAGTTTGCTATAGCGTTAGATAATTTTCAACGTTCAGACATTCGACGGGGCTTATCGCCCAAACCTGAAGTTCTATTTAATGTACCCTCGCTGATTTCGAGTGTACGTTATTACAGAATGATTCTTATGGTTTTGCGTAAGAATGGAGATATTGTTGGTAACGAAAAACAGAGTTTTGCTTTGAAACATTTTTACTGTATAATAGTAAAAATTCTGATGGAAATATAAACCGGATCCCGAGTAAAACAATGGATACTACAGGCACGTCCGGAGTCCATAAAGCGTCTGTAATAAATTCTGTAGGAAAATTATGCATTTTCATGTCTTGACGTAACAGAAGGTGTCACCTCTTCCTCATGACAAAATAGAGATCTGACTCAAAACGTGACAACGTGTTTGCTGTCAGCTTCACTTGACGTCTGTATAGGATGAAAACTAATGTCATTAGATTGTTTTGTATATACCGGACAGATCATGATAATACTGGTGATAATACATCATTTATTGTTATCGTTCAGTACCATGAAATGCACCACGATAACTCAGACACGTTTAATATTTATTTTTCTACCGAAACTTCAGACGACATACAGTTTTATTCGTTGTTTGTAAAAAAATGTCTGAAATATTGGTACGCTGGTTTGCTTGTCACTGTGTATTTAGATTTCGCATGTCATGGATTGTATTACACATACAGGTTAAAAATCAGTCGTAAAATATTTTTGCTGTGTATTTCTACATCTAAAAAACCCATGTTGCTCTTTATCTGAAGGCACTGGTAATACAAAAGACAATTTTGCTGTATTTTATTTAGTGTTCTGTCTGACGACAGGTCCATATGAACAGGATCCTTCCATCCTTTCCTCGGACTGGGACCTGTTCATATACGTTCTTGGCAGATGATCCAGAAGTGGTTTGCCATTGCCTTCTTCTGTGTGTGAATGGAGTAATTGTTGGGAGGCCACGGAGGAAAACTCCGTGTTGCCTAAACCACGGCCTTGCCCAACACAAGTTATAAATGCGGGCACCGGAACGTATATATAATCAGAACGAAATGACTAGGTCTTTACTTTGATGGCGTAAGTACAAAAATGAGCGATTTAAACGTTACCTACCCTTGATTAAGTTTCAGGGTTTAACAGCGACGTGTTGTCTGGTAGATAAACGCTCCTCTGAGACGTCTGTCTTGTCTATTAAATTATACTGTGCTGTATCCCAAAAGACAGCCATCTTCTCCACCCTGCCTTAGCTGCAAGTCCTACTAATACGGCACATCTCGTTATCACAAATAATACACCGACGACATAATCAGGGCAGTATTACAGTTACAATTGGTGTCTAGGAAATTCAGTTACCAACATTCTCATTTTAGTTACCTGTGTTCGGTTTTAAGCGTTTAATTTTTCCATAGTGCAGAACAAATAGTTAATATCGAATAGGTAGACGAGTCTAGACTAGCGTTTCTCAACCTATGCTACGGGTACCACTGGAAGTACGCGAGCCAATGTTGAGTGGTACGGGAACTAAGTAAGGAAATCAAAAGATAATATTAACATAAATAAGTTTTCCCTGAACGCATTCTGTTAGTGGTACATTTAATGAGTTAATTTATAATTAGTGATACGCCAGGAGAAATGGTTGAGAACCCCTGGTCTACACGATTTCACAATGCGCTTAAAAGTGATATATAATATTTTAAATGAACTAGTAATGTATTCCTACCTAAAGAAAACTGCTCGTTTTTGTTAAAATATCAACTTGTATGTATAAAACGCCACTCCATTGAATGCAGTTACAGCAGATTTTACAATAAAAGGTTAAAAGCGTTTGTTGTTGAGCGAGGTCAATTTGGGAATGCCGGATATTCACGTGTACAGACGTGATGTTCACAGTTTAGACCAGGATCCACTGTGCATTCCTTTCTTTTGTGAACATTCCGATATAGATTTGAACGATGTAATAGGAATTTAACTTGGAGGTTAATTGGAAATAATGGCGAGGGGAAAACAGACAGTGTAATGATTTTCCACTCACAAGTCGCTCTTTCCTTCGAATGAGACAGGGATACTGACCTACGTAGTTACACGTTAAATAAACCAAGAAACCAGTAGCTTGTCCTGAGGTTGGTTGTGTTTCTGGGTAGTCACTCAAAGTCAGAAGTTTTGATGTTTTATTTATAGTGTTGGCCAGAGTGAGTAGCATTTGCTGTTCTAAAACAGTTCAGAGAAGCTAAATGTTCGCTTTACTGACATCGAGTGGGGTTGAATTCTGCTGTATTGCGTAGGTCTCT